ACAAAAGGGGATGAGTCATCGCTACACACGGGTCTTCATGCACGCATCACTCACGCAAGGTGGCTGTCAGTCCACTACAATGCCACTGTTTCGACCCAAACCACTTCATCACTGCAAACAGCCAAACAAACGAAGTACGGCAGAGGTCTCCGCCTCGTACATCATTCAAAGTATTGTGCACACTAGAAGAACGGTACAGGTGTTTAAATCCTGTCAAAATATGAATAGCCGATCTTGTAACACGGATAGCATATGGGCCATTCAAGGTAGGCACAAATTCATTTGAGGTGGAGGTTATGAAATTTGCCCATTTTGTGTACCATTTAATGCTTTGTTCATTAAAATGACTATAACCCTAAGCAAAATGAGTTCGCCTACTGTGTTCCTCAATGTAAGGGAGGTCTTCATTACCTACCATTTCTACACAGGTCAATATGTAGATAACTGGATGGCCCATTAAGATTAGTTAACCCGAGGAATCACTTAGTAAACGTGACGATCCTCAAAACAGTGGTTTTCCTTGTGAATGCACTCTTCTGCTACACCCACACACCACACTGTTGGCACGTGACCTGTGCCTGAAGGGTAGTGTTGACGTCAACACGAATCCTGAGACCAAAGTCTGGAGACAAGTGTTGACATTGCGTGCGGTCCCACGGTGCCGAGATTGTCCTGTTCACACGGTCAGTGTCCGCGTTGTGTTGATAATCGCAATCAGGTGATCCGCCCGTTCGGATACAGTGCTGATGTCCTGCGTCGCAACTACTTGTTGAAGCCCTTTACTACACGAAGTAACCCAGGAAGGAAATAATTGCAGAGATGGCAGGCTCGATCGTTAACTAGGCAGCTCAACCAAGTTGTCGTGTGTCTGCTGGTACAGTTGAGTGGACATGTAGAAATAAACATAGGCGTCTGTGAGGTCACATGACTAAAACGGGTGGTGGTGATGGTGGTGGTGGTGGTGGTACATGAGGAGGGGTTAATGCACCAGCGGCCTCACGTGACTGACGGGCATGCCGTGGGAAGGGGGGACGCGTGCTGGAAGCTGCGACGACTGGGTTATTGGACATGAATCAACACGATTCACAACATACTCGTTAGCCTGACGACAACGTGCAGAAGTGGGTTGTGAGTGGAATGGTTGACACACAATGCAGGTGGTTTCCATTCCTCACATGAGTTTGATTTGTCGAGTGAAGAGCAATGTCATATTCTGTCCTGGTTGTTATTTAGAATGCATGAACGTGACCACCTGTCTAAGACGACTCCTGCATTCTCTAACACAATACGACAATTCCACAATGTGTCATCGTTTGGTCACTAAAGTTGATTTAAATTCATTAAAATTCCATTAATGAGAAAACTGGACGACGAGAGTGGAGATTGCAAAAAAAACGTGATTTATTTTGAACCTCGCCTTAGAGGTTAGCGAGTTCGCAAAGCCGTGAACGTAGGCAGAAACACAGGTTTTTTGTGCCACCATCCAGCTGTCTGCATGCTTTGGTAACGTGTTATTCACACCACCGAATATTTCAACTTTCAACCATTTCCATAGCAGTGGTGTAGCAGTTGCCAACAGGAGAGAATGTAGTGAATCGTATTGATTCACATCCATTAATCTGCTTCCTACAATCTGCAACACACTGCTCCCATTTCAGCCATGGAGGACCATCTGCTCTCACACACACCTCTCCCGCTATTTGTTGAACTATTCTTGCCATTCACTATTTGTACGTTAACTAGTTTACCCAAACTGCTGACCAATAACTACATTAAACAAGTACCACTGTTAGCGTACGCACTCACACAGTACAACCATGGTGAACTGTCCAGTAAACGACCGTGTCTCTGACGTCTTCGGTCTTCTAGTTGGCTTCTCGGGTGTTTGAGTAGCGTTATTGCTCTAATTTAGCTCAGCAGACCCCGGCCTGGTAAGAGACTACATGCCGGGGAAAAAACAAAAAGCCTGGGACATTTTTAACTGGACTGGTCATGCCTTTTGTCTGGCAGAAAGTGAGTCAGTAATTTTGAATATGACATGAAGTGGGGTGTATCATGTGAGGCATTGGTGATTTAGCGCTTGGTTTCCAAATAGAATATGACACGTCTACAGGCGCCAGTGTATCTCAACTTGGCCATTTTAACTGACAAAAGATTTACCCTATTTTGGCATTGTTTAACTTCGAACCCCTGTGAGCTGCTTCACACAAGTCCACACATTTCCGTGACATAAATACGGTTTGGTTGAATGAGGCCAGAGAGGTTGACGACTGTTCTGCTCTGCAACCAGCAGGTGTAGCATCATGCACTCCGCTCTGATGCAACGAAAAATTTCGGTTTGTCGGAAAATTGGTGTTCCAGTGTTTCTCTGGGTGGCTATTAACCAATGTGTTAGTCAAGTGGATTCACCGCACCACGTGCCGAAGACAAACAGATGTTCGAATGTAGGCAGTAATGTCAATTGTCCACGAATTACAAAGGACGTGTTCTCGGTCACCTTCGATCAGTGGGGCACTAAAGAGTACTTGGAACCCACAAGCACAACGCGAATACTGAGAATACGGATGTCAACTAATGCCAGGATTATTCACTGAAGGAAATGACCGTTAAACACCAAATGGATGACTGAGAGCATTGATACTTCACTTAAATAACAATTGCGTTTATTTCATTTTGCCAAAGGGCTTATAGTTCAGGTGTCAAGCCTGTATTAGTTCTAAAAGGCAAAAATCATTTACCAAATAATTGTCAAAACTATTCCGTGATGTTAAAGATCTGATTTATTTATTTAAACGGCTCGTCCGCTCATTGCCAAGACAGTGACCAATTGGATTCAGGTTCACGAGGCCACCAATGACAACGACTACACTAATATTATCCGCATATATAAACACGTGCGTGCTAGCGACAACTTCAAGTCAACATGCAGATGTTTGTGTGGCAGATTCTGGTGCTGTTGAGCGCCGTAACGAGGGGCATGATTATTGGTCCGCGACACCATTATGGACCGGTTGATGCCAACAACACCGTCTCCGTCGTCATGGCTACCGAATTGTTCATCGACTTACCAAACAGAATCATCGTTCACTCCTTAAGGCCTCTGACCAAAATCACTGTAAACATGACCGCTTTTCAACTGGCTTCCAACGATATCGGTTTAACTACTTTCAACAATCTCGAAGCCACTGCCATCACCGATTCCGCCCATGGTCAACGCATGCACATCTACGAATTGGACTACTCGGTTCCAATTGAAATGAAACCTGGCAGTTCCTGCACGCTCCATATCACCTACTTCTATTGTCACAGCGGCGAATGTCAAGGCGAGGCTGATGAAAAACAGGTGAGCATAGAGAAGTACGTTCAGTTCGTGAAGCATTTCATCATCATTATGGGCGAGACAGACAAACCGATGTATCGACCTGGCGATCAAATAAGATTCCGCTTTGTCGCTCTCAGTAGTCGGCAGATAGTGCCGTATTCTGGTCCATTGACATGGCCCAAATATCGCGCTGTAGGTTCCTCATGGAATGACAAATACCTCGAGGAAATCGGAGAGCATGAACGCGACAGGCGAATGAAACCACCATA